ATATATATATATATATATATATATATATATATATATATAAAACATCTCCTTAATTGAAAACTCTGAAATGACATAACTAAACTACAGAAATGTTGTTCAAAACCCACCTCTTCCTTCATATTGCCATTGGTCTTGATGGTACAGGTTATAGCCTTCTTACAAATTCAACACTTCATTATAGAACACTATACTGTGTACATTTATACTAAGGTCATGTACACAGTATAAAAAGGTATATACAGTATACCTTTGAGAAGTGACCTGTATGCAAGAAAAAGCTCTTGAAGTTGTGATGGTTGTGGTGATACTCAAGTATATTAACCTATACTATACTTGTAGAAAATAATTCAGTTAAAAGATTTTGTTTCTGCTTTAATCCCCGTCTTGAATATGCTGTGAGTGCCTCTCGCAAAGTCTGATGACAAGGAAGAGGATGAGGACGAAAAAGAGGAAGTTCCACTTGAGCAGCTCCTGAAAGACTCTGCCATTCAGTAGCTTGGAAATTCTAAGCAGTCCACAAGATGACTGACTGAGAACATTTTTTATATACCGGTAGTAAACTTTGTGTATAGTGCAATGTACTTGTTAAATTAAACATTTTAAAGAGTTCTGTCTATTGTAAAGTTTGTGGACAACCATATTCTGTTACAAGGCTGTGCACTGGACAATCTGGAAAATTTCTTTGTCAACCCCTAGTATTATAGCAATAACAAGGTGTGGCTGGGTCAGGTCTGTGGTTGTGTTGGGCTGATGATGCTCAGGTAACTTCTAAGAGAAGAACATTTTTCAGCCAAGTTTTTCTGCTTTACTGGTTGACTCACAATGTGAAGGTTCTGTTTATAAGACTGAGTTTGTTGTGACTCCTCGGACTGATGGTCTTTTGGATGAAAGATTAAACGTTTCAACAAAAAGAAACCGTCCAGAGGACCTGACTTAACTTTGTTGGATTAATTCCTGTAATTAGTACTAAATGATAACATGAGCTAAAATCCTGTAAATACAATCCTTTTGAATGAAATGGTAATTTTAAGGGAAAAAATGTGTCTGTGTGTGTGAACTCAGGGTGTAGAAAAAACATTTTAATCCATCTTCGGCTAGTTCTGTAGTTGGGTCATTGTGGCAGTAGCTTAAGCAGGGCCCAGACATCTCTTTCCGTAGCCACCTCTTCCAGCTCTTCTGAGAGGACTCTAAGGTGCTCCCAGGCCAGCCGAGAGACAGTCTCTCCAACGTGTCCTGGTTCTTCCCCAAGGTCTCCTCCCGGTCGTACATGTCCGAATAAACTCCCTAAAGAGGCTCCCAGGGAGCAACCTTATCAGATGCCTGAACCACCTCAGCTGGCTCCTCTCGATGTGGAGAAGCAGCGGCTCTACTTTCCAAGAACTTACTGCCATTGAAACTACTTTCAAGCTGAGTCAAAGCCAACAGCCACATACTTGAAGTAGTCAAAATATGTAGCTGATTTTTCTTCCTTGAAGTTAGATTTTTGTATATGATCACAGCTTGATCTGATGTTAATATTCCAAATTTTTCTTCTAGTTTGCCAGGATGAAATAAAGTTTGATTAAAAAAAAAAAACAAGACCAATCTTTTTGTCTTGGAAAAAACAGTCTTGACACACTGTCAACTTTTTATTTATTTTTTTAACTCCTGACCAAATATTGGATCCTTGTTTTAAGACTCTTTCACAAGACACCTGAAGCTGGGACTTGCATTTCATGCACACTGCTCATCCATCCATGCATCCATCCATCCTTCCCTCCCTCCCTCTGTATCCATTTTTTTTTTTTTTTCGGGTCATGGAGGTCACTGGTGCCTGTAGAGATAGGTACCAATCAGCTTAACGTTCACGATTTTAGTCTGTGGGAGCAAACCGGAGTACCTGTAGAAAACCCATGCATGAACAGAGAGAACATGCAAACTCCACCCATAAAGGCTCCCTGGCTGGGATTTCATCTGGTGACCTTCTTTTTGAGAGGCTGCAGCTCTGCCAACTGCACCATCCTGCTGCCATATTCTTGTAAAAAAAAAAACAAAAAAAACCCTTTTATTGTAAGTCACACAACCATGTGACCCGGAAGTGAATCACATCCGCCTTCAACACCATGACTCCCCAGACCCTGATGGATAAACTAGTCACACTAGGACTAAGCCCCTCCCTATGCAACTGGGTCCTGGATTTCTTAACCAACAGACCAGTCTGTGAGAATCCACAATTTCTCCTCCTCCACCATAACCCTTAGCACTGGCTCTCCTCAGGGATGTGTGTTGAGCCCCCTCCTGTTCACTCTGCTCACATATGACTGCACACCTACCCATCCAGGCTGTCATCTTGTAAAGTTTGCAGTTGATACAGCGGTGGCTGGATGCATCACAAACAATGATGAGTCCAACTAAAGGCAGGAGGTGGAACACCTGGAGAGCTGGTGCAGGAAGAACAACCTTCACATCAATGTGAAGAAAACGAACGAGATGACTGTGGATTTCAGAAGGAACAAACACACCAACTTAACCCTCCCCCCCCCCCCCCCCCCCACCCCCACACACACACACACCTGAACATCAGTGGTGGACGTGGTCTCCAGTTACAAGTATTTGAGTGTGCACCTGAATGACAACCTCAGCTGGGGCAACACCACCACCAGCCTGATCAAGAAAGCTCATCAGAGACTCTACTTCCTCAGACGGCTGAGACGAGCTGGACTGGGAAGCTCAGTCCTCACCTCCTTCTACAGAGGGAGATGGAAGATTAGCGCAGGGGTTGATAGAGAAGGCGGATAGAGAAACATTCAGTCTGCTCACATTATTTACTGCGACCTGGCATATGTTTACCTGGCGAACAAGAAAATTAATGTTTAATTTTCATTTCACAACAGTATATTTGACTGTATCTTAAGGGACCCCCTCAAAAGTTACTGTTAAAAACTCCCTGTTAGCTAACCTCCCCAATGAGGTGAAATTTCCACCCATGCTTCCTTGGTAAAAAGGCAGGCACCACAGGCTTGGCTCTTCAGGAGGTGGTCTCTTGAAGCAGAGAAGATGCTAAGAGACTGCTTCAGACCCATTGATTGGGATGTTACTGGAGTTTACTGAATTAAAGTCAGCTTTTCTGACCACCTTAATAAACTTAGGAAAATGTTTTTACTGACGAAAAATTGAGTTTTGGATGGAGGACAAAAAAACGTGAAAAACAACAGAAAACATAAGGAGAGCTAAAAGTAAGAAGCACTAACACAGCTCCTTGCCTGAGGGGAGCGGGGCAAAAAGTGTGTGTGCTGGGTGAGTGGGGTCCTTCATGATGCAGGTGGCTCTCTTCCTGCATCTGGAGGTGTAGATGCCTGTGATGGTGGGGAGGCTGACTCCAACAGACTTCTGTGCAGCCTTCACCACTCTCTGCAAAGCTTTTCTCTGCAGCTGTGCAGCCTCCATGCCACATGTTGATGCTGGAGCACAGGATGCTCTCCACTGCACCTCTGTAGAAGGAGGTGAGGACTGAGCTTCCCAGTCCAGCTCGTCTCAGCCGTCTGAGGAAGTAGAGTCTCTGATGAGCTTTCTTGATCAGGCTGGTGGTGGTGTTGCCCCAGCTGAGGTTGTCATTCAGGTGCACACTCAAATACTTGGAACTGGAGACCACGTCCACCACTGATGTTCAGGTGTGTGTGGGGGTGGAGGGGTAAGTTGGTGTGTTTGTTCCTTCTGAAATCCACAGTCATCTCGTTCATTTTCTTCACATTGATGTGAAGGTTGTTCTTCCTGCACCAGCTCTCCAGGTGTTCCACCTCCTGCCTTTAGTTGGACTCATCATTGTTTGTGATGCATCCAGCCACCGCTGTATCATCTGCAAACTTTACAAGATGACAGCCTGGATGGGTAGGTGTGCAGTCATATGTGAGCAGAGTGAACAGGAGGGGGCTCAACACACATCCCTGAGGAGAGCCAGTGCTAAGGGTTATGGTGGAGGAGGAGAAATTGTGGATTCTCACAGACTGGTCTATTGGTTAAGAAATCCAGGACCCAGTTGCATAGGGAGGGGCTTAGTCCTAGTGTGACTAGTTTATCCATCAGGGTCTGGGGAGTCATGGTGTTGAAGGTGGATGTGATGTCCACCTGGCACATACAAATGTAGGAGTTCTTCTGCTCCAGGTGGGTGAGAGCAGTGTGGACCACAGAGGAGATGACGTCCTCTGTTGATTGATTCTTGCAGTATGCGTACTGGTGTGGGTCCTTGCTGATGTCGATGGTAGTTTTGATGTGGCCCATGACCATTTTTTCAAATCATTTAGTTTAGTGACTATCGGAGTGAGGGTTACTGGCTGGTAGTCATTCAGTCCAGTCACTGCAGGGCTCTTAGGAACTGGGATGATGGTGGAGGTCTTCAGGCAGGTGGGAACAGTTGCCAGGATTAGGAAGGAGTTAAATATGTCGGCCAGAACCTTGCAGAGCTAATTGGCACAGTCTTTCAGCACCCTCCCTGGGATGTTGTCTGGACCAGTGACTTTGTGAGGATTAATCCTCCTGAAGGTCCCCCTTACTTCTGCTGAGGTCACACTGAGAAACTTCGCTTCACTACTTTTGGCTAACTACTAGTATATTCCTGCTTGTCCCTCACAGTACTGCTACCTACTTCTAGCTCTATAAGCCTTTTTTCTGCATTTTGCTAGTGTTTCACTACTTTTGGTTTTTAGCTTGCATTTTCCTATTTATTCTAAGCTACGTTTTCATGCTTTTTGCTAATATCTTACTAGCAGGTTTTTTTTGTTCCACTGTTTTGCCACTTCTGGGTCTTAGCTAGCTTTTGAAACCTTTTTTTGCGTTTTGCTAGGTTTACTCTACTTCAGCCATTTAACTAGCATTTTCATGCTTTTTGCTAGCATTTAGCTATCATACTTCTAGGGGTTTCACAACTTCATATTTTTTAAAGTCATCTTCAACTTGATAATGGCTAGGTTCAGTCCAATTAAGCTTCAGGTAGTTCGCTGGTAGTGAGCCATCTAAACTTTTTTTTACTTCTTTCAACTGGCCAATCAGCGCACAGCCATTTGACCATGTACATCCGCTGACGCAATCAAAAGCCCAACACCAACCTGGCCCGCCCATCCAGCACATTATTTTGGCCACATGTATTTGTGGGGTGTGGCCCGGGTTAGAAATGACAGCTCTAGCCAGCGCCTAGTGACACAATCTTGTGACTGCGACTAGTCGACGTGAAATTTTAAAACTCATGAGATATCCTAGAATTGACTAGTTGACTCAACCCCTACATACTTCTGAGTAATTACAAAAGTTTTTTTATGCTTTTAGCTAGCTTTTGCTTGTGTTTTGCTTCTTCTGGCTCTAAGCTAGCCTATTCTTACATTTTGTTAGTGTTTTTCTGCTTCTTACCTATAAATGGCATTATCCTGCATTTTGCTAACATTTCACTACTTCTGGCACTTAACTAGCGTTTCCCAGCATTTAGCTTGCTTTTTTATGCTTTTGCCTTTTTTCATTTTCTTTTTTGCTAATTTCAAAAATATATTTTTTTCTGCTAGTTTCAACATTTTTGGTATTTTTCTTCAGTTTTCTTGATTTTAACTTTTTGGAGCTTCTTTCTAGCAGCTTTCATCAAAATCATTCAGCAATAAGCAGTCACTCTGCATTTTTGCAGGAAATTCAATTTTTTTCTAGTTGTAAGGGTTTTCTGAAGCTTAAACTTAGCTAAAGACTAGCAAAACTTGATAACTAAAATAATGTTGTTTTATTTATTATAGAAGAAATATTTCCAGTTTTATTTTCACTGTTGCAATGTAACTGAGTAGTGATTTGTTCAGCTGACATAAGAGAAGGATAGTATACGAAACGTGAATAAAAAATATATATATTTTATTTGTATGGCACTTTTTTTAAAACAAATGTTACAAAGTGCTTCATATTAATCAATTAAAAACAATATCATAAATGACACCAGAAACACAAAAAGTATACCAAATCAATTAAAATACATAACTATAAGGAAAAAATGAAAATAAAAACCTGAAGAAATTCAGATATTAAAAGCCTTATTATACAAGTGAGTTTTAACTAACGATTTAAAAGAAGACATTGAAGAGACCTGTCTAATATTTAGAGGAAGCGCATTCCACAAATTAGGAGCCCTGACCATAAAAGCCATACCTGCTCCTTCTGTCACCAGTCGAACTTACATTTTAAAGTTAAAACGACATTTTTTTAACTTAAAAAATGCATGAATGTGCTTGTATAAATAAATCTAATAAAAACTGAGTTTTGTCAAGCCCAGATGTGAAAGAGAAACCCCATTTGTTTGATAACTTCTGTTTCATTGTTGCATCATTTATATGTTGCTGACTAGCAGCAGTTTTGTTTGCCACCTTTGATCACTTGGTCCTCAGCACTGGTTAATGATTGGATTCAGACCATAAATGGCTTCAGCAATACAAATATCTAGCTATGAGCAAATAGTCTCTACTAACTTCTCATAAGTAAAAAGAAAATAAATAAAATTTAGAGTGCGTCACTTCTTACCTTTTAGTTTTACTGTATCACCGATGTGTTTGTGTTTTTGTTTGTAGTTTTGGGAATCCTTCTTTGGATGAGCGAAGCATCCTGGCACCACTCTATCAGTGCTGCATGTAAGTCTGGGCACGATCAAATCTCATTTGATGCTTATCAACATTTTTACCACTATATTCCTCTGTTTGTTTGGGTTTTCCTCTTACAGGATTCGAGTGTCTACGTGGAACAGGCTAAACTTCCTGAGAGGGGGAGTTCTAAGTTCAGCTATGCGGCAAGCTCTGGCTTTTGATCCCATCCATCCGGTTCTGACTGAACCACACTTCGCAGCCCTGGATCGGCGTTTGTCTGGAGCCATAACAACTGTGAAACAGTGCATAGAAGCACAGGGCCCCGATAACACTCTGATAGAAGACAGAATGAATCTCCCACATCCTTAAAATTCAGTCCCGAGGAGAACATTAGTCACCTCTGGTCTGTGGTGCAGGCTCGAGAGGAGGTGCAGAGTATTGACAGGATGGACTAAAGACAATTTGTATCTTCATTCCTTTTCTTTTTATCGATGGTCCGAGTTCTCCAAAAGGAATCGCATGACAGAGTTGGAAACACAACGCTTTTATTTGTAAAAGCTTCCTCTCAGGACTGTTTACACAAGGATAGCTTAAACTGCTAGACCTGTCTTACTGCTGGTTTTGATGGTTGCTGGTTACTACTGTTTTTCCTCCTGTGCCAAATCCTGCACCTCGGTTGTGCTCTTCCACATCCACATTGCAGTCCGCAAAGAAATGAAGGACTCCAGATGAGCCTCATGAAAGACGCTGTGCAGCCATCGTGCAAAAAAAACAAACTGGAAACTTTGCTTAAATTATTTGGATATTTTAATTTATTTGAACTAAAAAGGGACTCGTTCTTTCAACTGTGATTGAATATTTACAAGGAACTGATAATTAACTCATCTTTGCCCATCAGTGTACATATTTAGTTAGTAGTTTAGAATTACGAGATGACAGATTATAAATTTGTGGATTATACTAATAGATGAATTTAAGCGTGTGTGTCTGAGTGACAACGAGTGCCATATGTGCTGTAAAACAGGAAATCTACTGAGATGACAGACTTGAGTCACGAAAGGGACAGAGGTGTGTGGGTTCATCTTTGGCATTAAACTAAGATCTACGTCATTTTTACCAAGTTGTCTTTTCTATATAATCCTGTGAAAGCCCTAATCTATCATGTCCTCACACACTCGGTGCTTGTGCTCAAACGGGACTTTCAATTTACTTTAACTTTTTTAATGTTCGTGTAATTTTACTAAACTTAATCTTAGATGTTTTACAGGTCTCATTTGAAAGTCACTTCCTAAAGTTTGCCTTTTGTTTACAATAGTTTTATTTTTCACTTGAATCATCATTCTTTAATTTCAGCCACGAGGAAATGATTTTAGCTTACAATATTTATGGACAACTTTTCCCACCGTCTGGTTTGTTACTATCCTAGCCTTGTCTTGTAAAACGTGAGTTGTGTTTGAGTTGAGGGTCAGGCCCTTGAACTTCAGAACAACTCCATACGGGGTCGAGGGAGGTGTTTTAGTTGTGTTTTGGACACCTGAGAGCAAATTGTCCTCCTCCAGCTGTTTCAAGCATCGTCCTCCAACAGGTGCAACATGATTCATCAGTTTTGACACACCAGATCTCAGCTCAGGATGTGTGTGGGCTGTTTGGTGAAGAACCGAATCACATGGCTCGTTCACAAACTCATTCTTTTATGTGTGTGTGTGTGAGAGAGAGACAACTGAAACAAATGCCCTACTCGTTCAAAGAGAGAGATAAAAATCCCTCATCCCTGTGAATCCTGTTACTTCATGTCTTGTTGAGGGCTTTCCCCATTTGAACGTGTGCTTCTGTTTCACGTCATCGTGCACCACACCGGCTCTCCTTATCACTTGACATTTACTTCTTCAACATTGACCGTTGTGGTGTCGTAACCACAAAGTGTGTATTTTTACACTCTGGTCTGAAGTGGATTTTTATTGCATATGCTGCTCCTACAAAGAGGAGATTCATCATTGTGAAACCACATGGCATGCCCCCCCCCCCCCCCCCCCCGCACGCCCCCTTCTCCCCACAAGCAGATGGTCTCTCTCAGCTGTCTTCTTGCCATTGCTGTCACATTCAGCTTCTATGTGAGATGAGCCAGATGATGTAGGACACCTGTTTCGTTTGTACTAAGCAGGTGTTTTTTCTTGGGACATACCAAAACATTGAAGCTTTGATGAAAACCACATCGTGTACCATGTTGGGGCATGTCGGGTCATGCCATAGCAAACACTTGCATTTGTTTTCCACCGGGGGACCACAGGAGTCCATGCCATGGTTATACCTAGAAAACGACAAATATTTAAAGGTGCTCAAATTTGTTTCCATCAGAGCGGAGCTGATTTAATTTCTAAACGCGTTTTTGTCTTTCCTCCTATAGAAAGTGCATCTGGACCTGCCGTTCTGTGTCTGTTCCTCCTTCCTGTTCCTCTCAAACCCAGCCGGTCGAAGCAGATGGCCGCTCGTCCTGAGCCTGGTTCTGCTGGAGCTTTCTTCCTGTTAAAAGGAAGTTTTTCCTTTCCACTGTCTCCTTTGCACTCGCTCAGGATGGGAGACTGCGGCAAAGTGAAGGTTCAACACAATCTGCTGCTTCCTTAGATAACGTTTACTAATTGTCTTTTATAATGTACGTGAATGTTTCTGTTCAGTGCCCTGAGATGACTTCTGTTGTGACTGTATAAATAAACTGAACTGAACTGTTGGCCTTTACTGTATTCAGAGAAGGATGACTTTTCTTCAACAGAAAAGGTTTTCTCTCTTCTTTTATAAACATGAATGAAAAGGGTGTTTTTTCTGTAACATTGTGTCACAGGCACATTTTCTGTTTGACCTCTGCATGGGGGAGTACTGTGCTGAGATACAACAATCAGAAATCAGACATGTTTATCACAATCCCAAAATCTTTAAACAAATGAGTGTAAGTTCAGATGTTTTGTTCAAGTATACAGATGAGTAGTCATATCCAAAGGGCACTTTCTTTAGACTTTCTCACAGCTTTTAGTATTCTAGTTGACCTACTGGCCCATTTACATTGCGCTGGTCCACCAACTTCAAATACATAGAAAATGGCACCAGATATGTTTTTTTGTTTAGTTTTGTTTTTGCCGGCTCCATTTTGCAGGGGTTGCCACAACAAATGAAGTTACATGAAAAATGTGGCAGTTTACATCAGATACTCTTTGATGCCAGCTGGGCTTGAACCTGCAGCGTTAAAATTATGAGGCTGCTGCAGTGACCATCAAGTTACAGCAGCCCCTGGTAATAGATTGTTAGTTGTGATAGTGCAATATCATTGGCCTTTTAAAGCTACCACTGTATAATAAAAGTAGCATTCCTTGATGGAACACACATCACTGTTTAATCTGTTAGCGGTTGAAATATGTGATGGAAACAATTCTCAGCTAAAATTTCCACAGAAAATCTTTAAAATTACTGAATTTGCTACTTTGTGTTGGCTAAGGTTGAGTTGTGGCTCATACATTCAGTGATTGCAGAATTTCTTTAAAATCTGTTCTAGTAAATACAATGACTGCCCACAAGTCATGGCAGCCACATTCTACAACTGGATTTTATACCATTAATAATTCAGATTTTATTCTTCCCCAGTTAGCTGTGAGGTTTGTTACCTGTCATTTCATCAGTTCCTGTTTATTAGAAGTAAAGTAACAGCAGAGTTTTGACTTGTACCAAGTAGAACACGGTGAGGCCATATTCTCTCAGTATTAGCCATGTGTGATATTTCAAAATGAAAGCATTAGCTTATTTTTAAAAAGAAGACTACAGTGCAAAAATCTTGACCCACCACACTTTTTTTTTCTTTTCCAAGAAGCAAGACATTTAAAAAAATTTAACGTTATGGGGGTTTTTTTGTCGAGATCTTCGAAGGTCTTTTAATGGGTTTTTTAAAATTATATATATATATATGTATATATATATATATATATATATATATACACACT